GGTTAGTGGTCTAACTTGTACATCTCAGTTCCCTCTTGTTGACTTAGAATGCGTGAGGATAGCGCCTAAGATACTTTGTGGCCCAAAGTAAATTCCCAATAAATCTTTTTCTCTACCTTGCCCTGTCTTCCTTGAAGAAAATGAAAGCAAAATAAAAGTGTAAAGCAGTTTTGAACCATCTCTGGCATCCTTATCTGCATCAGCTCACTCAGTGTTCACTGCCTTGCTCTGAGCACAGCTTTAAAAGTCACCTCTTTCTGTATCTCTTGTCCCTTTTCCTGAACTTCCATGCTCCAGTGCCCTTCCTTTGCTATACTGCTCTGTTTTCATCTTTAGTGCATCTGTCCCTGCAAGTTTACTGTGTAGATAAACATTTTATTTAGACTTCTCTCCTGTCTGGTCTTTTTGGGGATAACCTGTATTTCAAGAATTTCAATTTGAAATGAATTTATCTGTTTCTCTCCTTCAGTAGTTCCCAGGAGCCTTCTTGACTATAAAACATGCTTACGTGCCTTACCTGCTGGCCTCTATAATGTTTGCTTTATGGTTTAGTCTTAAGCATTTTTTGCGATTCCTCTTAACTTTGAAGTTCCAAGCTCGCTTAAGCTGTTTTGCAGATCTCTTTGCAGATGTGTTCTTCCCAATACCAAGCACATGGTGATGCTGCTTGCCCCCATCCCGTGTGCGAGTGCCTGCAGGTATCTGGGCTCTTCCATTTGTGAAGTGTTTTTCTCTTGTTGCATCTCTTCCTTCTCTTAATCCCACTTTTGGTAGTTGATTCATTCCTACTCCTCTACAGGTAGTGAAACTTAAAGCTGTTTGTAAGCTATTAGTAGGTTTAGTAGAAGACTCACCAAGAATGGCAATGAAAATTTGCTCTTCACTCGGGTTTCTTGGTTACCTGTGACAGTGGTTCTACAGCCTGAAAGGAAGGAGCATAGCGGCCCTGGGTGTGTGTAATCACAGTTGCCTGATAGGTGGTTCCTCAGAACCCATGTGCGTCTCCCTTACCTAACCATTTAGCCAGTGGCAGAGTCAAAGCAGCCTGTTTCTAAGAAGCCTTTTTAGAATGTTTTATAGCCCCCTACCTCAAGTCTTTTGTTCTGTTGGTTAAAAAAACACTTACCAGTAGATTTGTTGGTTAATCTGGTCTGCCAGTACCATGCTGATTTGAAAGTTGGTTATTTGTCTCCTTTCCAAAAAATGGAATTGCCGCGTACAGTTCATTTTGTTTGACGTGAAAACTGAAACTGATGTAAAGATTTATTTACCTGGCTAAAGGGCATTTTTCAATCAAAAGGCAAGAAGGTACAGTTTTAATGAATCATAAAACTTATCTGTTTGACACATGCATTTTTCCTACTCTGTAAATATTTAGTTAAATGCCATTTAGGTAAAATTTAATTGCTTATGTACTTGTTGCCGTGGACTGAATTGAAGTTCAGAATTCTGGAAACAATATTATAAGTTAATACAGAACAGTTACAATGATTTATTATTTTGTAGGAAATAGTTTGGGGATAGAACAGGTTGGACACAGAATGAAACTCAGACTAGGTTTGAATTCATGCTGTGGCATCTACTAGCGCTCTTGGGCCATGTAGTTAGCCCCCTGGGGCCTCAATTTCATCTTCTGTGGAATGGTAATGGCCTCTAGCTTACAAAGTTGTTGTGAGGAACAAATAAAAGTCATGGATGTGACAGTTCCCAGCACCCAGACATCCAGTAAGTGTTAACAGAATTGGAATCTGAGGCCTATAAATCATTTTAAATGTTGTGTGTATGCATACACACATGTTGTGTCTATATTGCATTTGAATATGTGGAATGTGTAAGGAATTAAAAACTTATATTCATAGACTATGGAAGTGAGTGTTTTGCCTTTAATGGTGTGTATATGTGCAAGTGAGTTTATTTCATGAGCATACAATTTAAAATTATTATTTATTTCTGTTGAAGTAGATTCTTCCAAAGCATACACACAGGCTGAAGAATGAATGGTGATAATTGTATAGTGCTATAGACATTATAGAATTCTGTCTCTTGTGTTATTTTCCTTGTGTCTCCTTGTGGAGGCCTACTTAGTTCCTTTTTTTTTAAAGTTTATTTATTTTTATTATTTTTTTAGTAATCTCTGTACCCAACATGGGGTTTGAACTGATGACGCTGAGATCAAGAGTCCCATTCTCTTCTGACAGAGCCAACCAGGAGCCTCAAGGCCTACTTTGTTCTTCTTCTTCTTCTTTTTTTTTTTAATGTTTTTTTAAATTTATTTCTGATAGAGAGAGAGACAGCATGAGCAGGGGAGGGTCAGAGAGAGAGGGAGACACAGAATGTGAAACAAGCTCCAGGCTCTGAGCTAGCTGTCAGCACAGAGCCCGATGTGGGGCTCGAGCCCATGAACTGTGAGATCATGATCTGAGCCTAAGTTGGATGCTTAACCGACTGAGCCACCCAGGCGCTCCAAGGCCTACTTTGTTCTTATCAAGGTTGATGACCTAATGGTCATGAATACTCTTACACAGACATTTCTTACAAATAAAGTTTAATGTTAGTGGAAGAGTCATGTTCTATGTCTCTATCACACAGTGTTGAATTTAGTGCCTTACTATCAAAATGTAAATTTCTGCAAAGGCAAGTCGTTTTCTTAACAATACAAATCACTGAATCTATACTGCATGTTAGGGGTTCTGTGTACAGTATCAGGAATGTTAAACTATGAAACAGGTGGAATGCAGTTTTATAGATAAGGAAACTGAGTCTCAAAAGGATAAATATATTCCCGAAGATCAGAGAACTATTGAGAACGAGAACCAGAGAAGCACCTGGGTGGCACAGTTGGTTAGGCATCTGACTTCGGCTCAGGTCACGACCTCACGGTTTGTGGGTTTGAGCATTTGAGCCCCGCATCAGGCTCTGTGCTGACAGCTCAGAGCCTGGAGCCTGCTTCAGATTCTGTGTCTCCCTCTCTCTCTACTCCTCCCCCACTCAATCTCTCTCTCTCTCTCTCTCTCTGTCTCTCTCAAAAATAAACATTAAAGAAAAAAAGAAAGAGAACAGAAAGCAAGCTCAGATTGGCGTGACCCATGTGTGGTATGAGGCTGCTGCTCGGTCACTAAGATAAATCAAAAGAGGATGCTTTAAGGTAACAGGAGTTGGAAATATAGTGAGGACAGTTTTGGCCTTGGACGGGGCAGAATCCTGCAGGACAGTCAGGGTATCTGTTCTCAGGATGCTGAAAATGCAGTGTCCCTGGTCTAACTGCAAGACCCCCGGAGCCTCTGGCATTCTCTCCTTTTCTTCAAGCCCATTTTTCTATTGTCATCTGCTTTCTCCAGACATTTATTAAGGCATTGGTCATCACTTAGAACTATGCGCTTGACTCCTCTCCCCACCCCAGCTCCACTGCCCACCTGCTCACCCCCACGAAAACAGACAACAGGATTGTTGTGAAGATTGTGTGATAAATGAGTTAATAGGTGTAAAAGATTTAATACAGCATCTGGTGCATAGTAAGTACTCAGTAAATGTTGGCTACCATTATTGTTATTGTTAACAGTATCATCGGTGGAGGTAAATGACTCAAAGTTTTTATGACACCTTCTTCAAGGACCTGCATGTTCCCTGCCCAGAGGCAGGCTTTGTGCAGTTCCTTGCAAAGAGCCCCAGACAGGGCGTGTCCACGCAGATACACAGGAAGATGGAGGGGTATTAGTCAGGGGGTGCTGGTTTCCACACCCTGGGAGTCAGGAGGTGTCTGTTGTCTACTCTGGCTCCCTGTCATCAGCCACAGAAGCAGTCTGAATTTCACTTCCAAATAACACTTTTTTTAAAAAAATAATTTTTTAAAAGTTATTTATTTATTTATTTTGAGAGCGAGAGAGAGAGAGCACAAATGGGGTAGGTACAGAGAGACAGGAAGAACCGAATTATAATCAGCTTCTGCATTTACACAGCGTGGAGCCTGACACAGGGCTCGAACCCACAGACCACAGGATCATTACTGGATCTGAAATCAAGAGCTTAACCCACTGAGCCACCCAGGTGCCCCTACTGTTTAACATTTAAAAACAATCTGTTTCAGTGTAATTTCTGATTAATCTTCCTTTTTCTAAAATACGAAATGTACGGAATACAAAAGTGGTAATTTGAGACTTGAAGATTACTTTGTTGATATGTAATGGACCTTTTTAATAAATAATATTTATTGTAGCTATCTCAATTCAAAAGTCATTTGCATTTACTAGAAAATGAGAATTCTGAAAAATAAAGAAAATTAAAATCACTTTATTCTAATATCCAGAGATGACTGTAGTTAAAATGTTGGCATAATTCTCTCTAGTATCCATTCAGTGTTATGTATTCCATTGTATGTAATTTTACAATTCATTTTTATAATTACATACTAATTAGAAAAAGTTTATATTTCATTTTTATCATTTTAAAATTTTTAAAAATCTTTTATTTTTTAATCTTTTTAAATTTTTAAAATTTACATCCAAGTTAGTTAGCATATAGTTCAACAGTGATTTTATTGATTCCTTAATGCCACTTACTCATTTAGCCCATCTCCCTAATTTTAAATTTTATACATAAACTATAATTCTCGTTACGTAGCAGTATTGAAATATTCTAGTAACTTTTGGGGCATAAGCATGACAAAGAAGAAGAAAACAAATTAATTCTCAAAAAAAACTAAAATAGATAATTTCTATTTATAAAGTACACATTACAAAAATTTAAATATTAGGAAAAATACATCATGACCAATAGGAGTCCTGCAATTCCTCCAGTCCCCACTATTAACAGTATGTTTACAAGCAACTAATTAAAAAAAATATATATATATCTGATTAGATTTCTGAATTGTCTGTCCATCTTTGATAAAATTTGTGAAGGGGTACGTGGATGTTCTTTGCTTACAGGCTTAGTCACATTAGGCAGTGAACCAGAATGTGTTTTTGCGAAATAACATCTCGATATTTTTCTCCATGCTTTAGGTATGTGTTCTTTTTGGATCCATGCAATCTGGACTTGATAAACCGGAAGATCAAGTCTGTAGCACTGTGTGTAACAGCATGTCCGAGACAAGAACTGAAAACCCTGAGTGATGTTCAGAAGTTTGCAGAGATAAATGGTGAGACATGAGTCCGTCCAGGTCCTCACCCCGGTCACTTACTCCCACTGGGACATACTGTGTGCTTGCATTCCAGTATAAATTTGTACTAGTATTAAATAAATCACCAAGGAACCTTAAAAAGAAAAAGAGGATTGAAAGTCCTTGTGGACTTCCTTGATAAAAAAGATTATAGTCACCTGGGGAGCTTGTTAAAACTCCAGATTCCTAGGCTCCCTCCAGGGAAATTCTGAGTAGGTCTTTGGGTTCAGGAAATTTGTGGGTTTTCTTTTTTACAGGTGTCTCAAGTGTTTGAGCATTTGTAAATGACTAGACTACTCTTTGTGAAACTGTTTTTTTTTTTCTTTTTCTCTTCATAAATACTGATGAAAAATATTTTGATTAGTGTATTTTATTTTTGTCCCTGGATAACAATGTAATATATGTCTATTATAGGAAATTTAGAAAATTCAGGGAAAAGAAAATGAATACCCAAAGTCCACCAGATGTTTCTATTGTGTTTTGCTTTTTTTAATTTCATATTATCTCATAACCATATTTCTAAGAGTAAAGTTTTAAGAAATTTTGAGGTTAAACATATGGGAATTAGTCGAGAAAACAATCATAGTCAATTTCTAACTTGTAACTCCGCTCCCTTGGGTTTCTAATTTCCAGGTACTGTCCTGAGTTCCCTCTGACTTGCCCCAGTTCTCTTCAGAGAATGTTATTTTTAACTTTTCTTCATGCAGGGCCCCAAACTGATAGCCTGTGTTTGTGAACTTCCATGGGTGTCAGGTTTGCGTTCTGTGCGTTGGAGTCCTGAGAGCTGCCTTAGCCTCGCCTGACTTACAGGCTGGTTCTGGTTCCTTGGAAAAAGGACTGACTTAGCATCTGCCTGGTGAAGTTTCTAGCTGCGTAGAGAGACAGCCGGGGAACACAGCAGCACACGTCCCTCTACACAGCTCCAGAGCTTTCTGATGGGGCTGCGGGCTCTTTGAGGGCAGGAGGACTGCAGCTTTCTAAGACGGGCCGTATTCCTGTCACTACTGCTCCAGGCCCTCAGTGTAAGGTAGTAGGAAGAGCATGAGATTAATGTGACTGGATTCTGCTTCTGCTGCTGTCACTAACTGGTTCTGTAATGAGGCACAGAAAGTGTAGCCTCTCTGAACCTAGATTTCCTCATCTGAAAAAAGTGGGTTGAAAACAATGCCTCCGTCATAGAATTGTTGTTGTGAGGATTTGATGAGAATACATGAATACTTGGCCCTTGGTGGGCACTGAATAAAGAGGTGCCAACTACTCTTCAAGATCTTATTATTTATTCCCACATGATATCCTCACACAGATTGATTTGCTGAGTCTGATACTAGAACTGTCGACCCTATCATTATCAGGTTCCTTAGGGAGAAGTGAGTTATCCTTTATGGGTTTTTCTGAAATCTTAGGCAAGGTGAGCATACATGGTGCACTTTGGGAGGTGGTGGTGTTGAGTTGTTGAGAGTATAGGCTCTGGAACCAGATCATCTGGGCTCAAATATTGGTCCTACCATGTACTAACCATGAGACCCTAGGCAAGTTATTGATCTCTAGTTGCCTCAATTTTTCCATTTATGAAGGGGCAAATATTTGTACTAAAACTGCCTCACAGGGTGTTATAAGGACCTCATGCATGGAAAATGCTTAGAAGAGTGTCTCGTAAATTGTAAATTGCTGGAAAAAAAAGTATTTGTTACTGCTGTTACGTTATTACTATTAATGTTATTGTTCCCCCAATGGAAGGTAGTAGTCTTCCTGCCTCTAGTCTCTCTCTGCTTCTAGACCCTTACATACTACTGCCGTATGAACGTTGCTAGAGCTTTAGTCATGTTAATCCCTTACTCAAAAGTCATCAGAAGTTATAAAATAAAATGTTATATATCTTACCTTGGCATTCAAAGCTATGATCTAGTGCCAAACTATCTTCTAACATGTTTTCCTGAACCCACTGGATGTGAGTCTTGGTCCCTTGAACCTGACATGTCAGCTAGAGGGCCAGAAGAGAATTATTTCCTTGTTCACTGTGTTGCCTGCTGTGATGATCTGCTGGGGAGATCATCTGCCCCATGCAGCCTGGCTGGTATGTTTATTTCCAGGTCATTATCCTTCTAAGTGATTATGATACTGAATATGGCCTATTAAGGCCAGTTTATAAGACCTTTCTGGTGAGTGTTGCAGCTTTGTTTTTTTCACAGTCTTACACAAAGCAGGTGTTCAAGAATATTAATGAATAAATATTATTCCAGAAAACAGACTTCTTCAATTGGTGCCTAACTACACAGGCACCCTTAGGCTTTTCAGGCAGCTGTTTGCAAAATAAGTCAACGTGTTAGGCATAAGAAAAAGTTTTAATAATGGCAGCATCAAGAAGCACAGCAGTGGAGGATAGAGAAGATAAATATTTTAAAAGGCAATAGAAAAACTGTGAAATTATAATAGAGAAGGGAGCCTTTGGTGGAGGAACTTAAATACCTTTATTTTAATAGCAACCCTAAGTTGAAAATTTTTGGTTTTTTTTTTTTTTTTTTTTTTTTTTAAATGTGGATTGTTCTTTGGATTGGTGACTTAAACTGGACCTGGTAAGGGGCACCTGGGTAGCTCAGTCAGTTAAGCGCCTGACTTCAGCTCAGGTCATGATCTCACAGTTTGTGAGATCAAGCCTTGCATTGGGCTTTGTGCTGACAGCTCAGAGCCTGGAGCTAGCTTCGAGTTCTATGTCTTCCTCTCTCTGCTTCTTCCCTGCTCACCCTCTGTCTCTCTCTCAAAAATAAACATTAAAAAAAATACTTAAAAAACTAGACCTGGTAAAACTTAATTCCAACATTATTCTTGTCACTGAGAGAATTCTTTATCTTTTTGCATTATCTTTTTTTTCCCCTTTGTCTTTCCATCATTTGAGGTGCACACTGATTTGGAAGGAGGGAATGATTTTTATAGTTACCTGTATCCCCATGTTGTTAACAGCTACATTTCTATTAGAAAATGCACAGGCCCTTTGATCTCAGTTAGGTCCATCAGAGAAGAACATCTTCAAGAGCTAATTTAAGTTTAAATGGGAAATTTCCAAATCTGTAAGAGAGAATTGCTCAAAATCCATGACAAAGTCCAAATGTAAGAGCAAACTCTAGAGCTCTTAGAAGAAACTATAAGGGAAACCTTCATGACATTATATTGGCAATAATTTCTTGGATATGAACCAGAAGCTCTGTCAACAAAAGAAACAAAATAGGTAAACTGGACTACATCAAAATTTAAAACTGTGTGCATCCAAGGACACAGCAGCGTGAAAGGTAATCCGTGGAGTAGGAAAAAAGATTTGCAATTCATTATATTTGGTGAAGGGTTAGTACCCAGAATATATAAAGAATTCCTACAACTCAACAAGAAAGAAACAAACAACCCAATTAAAAAATGGCCAAAGGACTTGAATAGACATTTCTTCAAAGGTCTATGATGGGCCAATAAGAAGGACATGAAAAGATGCTCAACATGCTAATCATATGGGAAATGTAAAAGAAAACCATAGTGAGATACCCCCTTACACCCATTAGCACAGCTTAGAGAAAAAACCTCCAATACCACAAAACAGAAAATAACAAATGTCAGTGAAAGAACAGAGAAATTGGAATGTTTGTGCATTGTTGGTAGGAATATAGAATTGTATGTTTGTGATGGAAAAGAGTTTGGAGTTTCCTTAAAAATTAAAAATGGAATCAGCACAGAGGATTTTTAGGGCAGTAAAAATACTTTATATGATACTATAATAATGGATATATGTCACTATATATTTGTCCATGCCCATAGGACATACACTAAGAGTTAACCCTTATGTAAACTATGGACTTTGAGTGATTATGATATGTCAATGTGTAGGTTCATCAATTATGTCAAATGTACCACTCTGATGGGGGATGTTATAATGGAGGAGGTTATGTGTGTGTAGGCACAGGAAGTATGTGGAAAACCATTGTATCTTCCTCTCAATTTTGCTGTGAACCTGAAACTGCTCTAAAAAATAGTCTTTTGGAAAATAGATTACCATATGACTCAGCAGTCCCACTTTTAGGTATATATCCAAAAGCATTGATAACAGGATTTCAGAGAGATATTTGCACACTCATATTCATTGTAGCATTATTCATAATAGGGAAGAGATGGAAGCAACCTAAATGTCCATTAATGGATGAATGGATAGAGAAAATGTGGCGTATACATACAATGGAATATTAGCCTTAAAAAATAAGGAAATCCTGTTATATGCTACAACGTGGATGAAACTTGAAGTTGTTATTCTAGATGAAATAAGCTAGTAACAGACAGATAGGGTGGTGGTTTTCACTGGCTATAGAATTTCAGTTTTGAAAGATGAAAACATTCTAGAGATCTTTTGGACAACAGTGTGCATATAGCACTACTATATACTGAAAAAAGTGGTTAAGGTGGTCAATGTCATATTATGTGTTTTACTACAATTTTTTAAGAAAGGAAGGGCATTCTGACACATGCTACAATATGGATGAACCTTGACGACATTGTTAAGGGAAATAAGTCAGTCACAAAAGGACAAATATAGTATGATTCCACTTATATGAGGTACTTACAGTAGTCAGATTCAGAGAGACAGAGTAGAATGGTAGTTGCCAGGGGCTGCAGGGTGAAAGGAATGGGGAGTTACTGTATTTTGAGTAAAGAGTGTGAATTTTGCAAGATGAAGAGTTCTGGAGATAGTGGTGATGGTTGGACAACAATGTGAATACACTTAATGCTACTGAATTGTACACTTAAAATAGTGTTAAGGTAGTAATTTTTTTATTATGTGTATTTTACCATAATTAAAAAGATGAAAGTGAAAAATCCTGTTTGGGGTAGTAACTTAAAAAAAAATTTTTTTTAATGTTTATTTTTGAGAGAGAGAGAGACAGAGCATGAGTGGGCGAGGGGCAGAGAGAGAGAGAGAGAGGGAGACAGAATCTGAAGCAGGCTCC